TTTAAATTTAATTTGGGTTACACCAGTCAACAATTAGCTCACGGTTGGCGCAATGAACCACCTTGAGAATAAGCCTTAATGTTTGCTGAAAGCATAGCTAAGGAAACTTGAACATGAAGCCACATTTAGTTCAAAATTAGGTGGTATTGACATAGAGATTCAGGACATAAATGTTTGTTTGAAAAAAATGTGTGACAACATATTTTATTTTATTGTTCTTAATTATTATTTGGTTCACTTTCTTAATTTATATTCATGTCTCAAGTTCGAATGCTCCTATCCCTTCCTCTTTAAGGTTCCTATGTTACCAAGTTCTTTTGTCATTTTGAATCGGTACAGTTACATTACAATCTAATTCATTTCATCAAAACTGACATAATACTAAACCGACATGTACAATAACACCAATAATTGGATAGCAAAGGCAACACTTTTCTACTTTCTAGTTATCCTATAAACATAGTAACGGAAAATATACCCAAGAAGAAGACACAACACCGGATTAGTATTAATTGAAAAAATGACTAAAACTACTGTTAGAATTTGGATGTCACCCGAATTCTTTATTGAGGATAATTGAGAATTCTAATTAAATTACACAATAATTTGAATCATATTTGGAATACAATTGTGAAATCATATTCAAGTTTTTTTGTCGATTTCTAATTGAAGTTCTATTTGGAAGTCTCTTGAGAGCAAGAATTTGTGTTGAATTTGAAAAAGACTTTGGAACAAAGAAAAACATCATTAGAAGGAGTTTAGGTCGGAGACGAGGCGCCGATAGTGACGCCGGCTATGGTGCTGTGGTGCCACCCGTTATGTTCTCCTGCCGTGTGCCACCTGTTCCGCTCTCTTTGTCATTTTGGTCTCTTCTTTTGTTTTGGACTCCGTTTTTTACATTTTACTTCATCTACAACTCTATTATAAGGGTTTGAACGTCCCATAATTGTTCTCTATATATATGTGGCTCTTCATTATGATTTAAATGTAATTAGAAGAAGTTAGAAACATTGTAAACAAATAATTTTTGTATTTTTTCCATAGGGTAATTAGCACATGACGTCTCCATCTCTCCTTGTTATTGTGGAAAACATTCATACCTTTCATTTTTTTGGCATTTTCACCCTTATTTCAACATTTCATTGCGCAAAAGGTCATTCTCACCTATTTTCTCAATTAAAAATTATGAAATGATGAATATACTCCTCTCTCTAAATAAAACAAAAAGAAAAGGCAAAAAACTAATTGGAACCGCAGTCCCAATTTTTTTTTAAAAATGCAAATAAGTCATAAATAAATTATTAAAAGGGTAATTAGTACATAATGTTCCTATTTTTCACCGTTATTGCAAAAAACGTCCATACATTTCATTTTTTTATATTTTCACCCTTAATTACATATTTGATTGAGCAAACCATCATTTCTATCCAATTTCTCAATAAAAAGTTCTTAAATGACGAATATACCCTCATATTTAAATAAAAAAAATTAATTTCTAATTCTTTAATAATTTATTTGGGACTTGTTTGCATTTCTTAATTTTAAAAAAATTGGGACCATATTGCAATTAATTATTTAGCTTTTTATTTAAATATAAGTGTATATTCGCCATTTCATAGCTTTTTATTGAGAAAATGGATGAAAATGGATAGAAATGATGATTTGGGCAATCAAATGTGTAATTAAGGATGAAAATGCCTAAAAATGAAGGGTATGAACGTTTTTCGCAATAACAACAAAAGATATGGACATTATGTACTAATTAACAATTTAATAACTTATTTGTGATTTATTTGCGCTTTTTAAAAAAATTTGGGGCTGTGGTTCCAATTAGTTTTTTCTTTTTGTTATATTTAAAGAGATGCATATATTCGTCATTTCATAATTTTTAATTAAGAAAATAGGTGAAAAATGACCTTTTGCGCATTGAAATGTGGAAATAAGGGTGAAAATGCCAAAAAATGAAAGTTATGGACGTTTTCCACAATAATAATAAAAGGTGGAGAGATTATGTGCAAATTGCCATTTTCCATATTATAGTAAAATCTCCATTATCTACAAAATTACATTATTCTTGTATTCATTACTTCATATTGTGGCTACAATCCCTTATCTTTTCATAACAAACTGGTGTCAACATAACAACTGTTATCAGAGGTTTTAGTGTTGAAATTTTTGGGAAGATCGAGGTTTTTCGTGATGACAACAATGAAGTATGATATTCCGCTATTAGATCGCAATAAAAGATTCTCTTTGTGGCAGGTGAAAATGTAAGCAGTACTTGCTCAGACGGATTTGGACAACACGTTGTTTGGATTTGATAAGGTGCCTACAACTTGGATTATAAAGAAGAAACAATGGAGGGACCAAAAGACCCTATCTCAAATATATCTTCAGCTTTCAAATAATATTGTTCAGGACGTTTTGAAGGAAAAGTCAGTTGTTGCATTATGGTTAAAATTGGAGCAATTATGCATGATAAAAAGTCTTACTTGCAAATTGCATCTAAAGCAACGTCTATATTCTCATCATATGACAGAAAGTACATATCTTGAGGATCATCTAACTTCTTTTAAAGAAATCGTCTTTGATTTAGAGACCTTGGAATTCAAATATGATAAGACAACTTGGGATTGATTTTGTTGTATTCATTGTCCGCATCATTCATGTATTTTAGAGACACGATATATATAGTCGTAATACTCTCACCATCGAAGAAGTCTACGCTGCACTATATTTAAATGAGAAGATGAAACATCTTGTAGCATTTGGGGGATCATGAAGGTGGTCTCATTGTTCATGATGGTCGTTCAAGGGCAAGTCAAAATTTAACTTCAAATTTTGTAATTATTGCAAGAAAAAGTGGCACTTGGTAAACGATTGTTATAAGTTGCAGAATAAATCAAAGTCAGCTACAAATCAACAATCAAAAACTTCAGGGAAAGCAAGTAGTGCAAAAAATCCTAGCAGTGGTGGAGAGCTTCTACCTATGTCTGACTACAACTCCAAACCTAATGAGACTTGGATTTTGGATACAAATTGCATTTTTCATGGACTCCTAGTCGGGATTTGTTTTCAACATATGAAGAAGTTTCAAAAGGTATTGTGATGATCGATAATAACACACCTTGTCGGATATTTGGTATTAGTTAGGTTAGAATAAAGATATCTGATTGGACGGTTAGAATACTTGATGCAGTGAGACAAGTTCCAGATCTTAAAAAAATCTTATCTCTTTAAGTATTCTTGATTCAAAAGGGTACAAGTGCATTGTTGAAGGTGGAGATCTGAAGGTTATCAAAGGAGCCCGTGTTGTCCTGATGGGACATTGAAAATCTCATTTATATATCTTGAAGGGTGATGCAGAATTTTCGAGTTATCATCATATTTTAAGAACTCGGGTAGATTTAGAGTCGGCTTCTGTATCGTTTGAGTCTAATTTGGGGTCTTTTTTTAAGAATACATCTCATTTGAATTTTGAAGATATGGGTAAATCCATCTTGCCACCATTATCGACGGTGTCATCGTATTCAATTGCTAGAAATAGACTCTTTTTTCGCCATAAGGTTCCACATAGGTACAACTCTGTGGATTTTGTAGATATTTTGAATGCGGTTAAGGGTGTTGATTCTAATCAAGATCCTTCTTCTAATGCATTCAATTGTTGATATTTCGAATGCCCAATTCCCGGATAAGGACACGTACAGGAGATTTCTGAAAGAGTGTTAAATTGTTTGGCAATTCTACTTGCCTCCACAAGCTCCAAGAATTCGGGTTGGATATTATCCGTGCCTCGGATTCCCTTAGCACAGCTTTCCCGTCGTCCAGGAGGCCACGCTCGATAAGGTTGTTCAAGATGTCCACCACCATCAGGGCACCTATCGTCAGGAGGCCGACAGGAATTCCAGCCAGTCCCAGTTATACCCTCCAATCCCATACTCCTTTTATTCTGATGATCAACAGAGATTAATACGAATCATGAATAAAATATTATATATGTGTATATAAACATCATTAACCAGTTATAAATAAGGAGATTTTGACGTATTAAATGGGTAGATTTTCTCTTATGTATGCATACAATACTTCTCTCTTGTTATTTTATATTCTATACTAACTTAGGCATCCGATGAGCTATGAAAAACAGCCTCTGTCCTTTTTCAGGTCATGACAATTCAGATAATTATGAATTTTTCTAACCTGTTTTCGTTATTGCACTTATATCTCCAACTTTTTATTGTCGTATTTTTATCTTCTACCTTCTATTAGTAACACACATTGTCTCTGATGATAGTTTCCATCCAAAAAAATCATTC